GACCACTCATCTTGGGCACTGAGTTCCCCTGCCTTCGAGAACCCCAGTGCGTCTCCCACCAATCTCCTCAACTCCTTGAAGTTGGCCCTCTTGAAGTCTCGGGCTACCGCCTTGCTGCAGGCCCTTGACACCCTGCGCTGGATGATGAATTCCAGCAAGTGATGATCACTATCACCCAGGTGGTCAAGGACCTGGAGCCCCCTCACCAGATCATCGCCTGTGTCCAGGACCAGGTCCAACAGGGCATTTCCTCTGGTGGGACTTTGCACCTCCTGGGTTAAGTGGAGGTCCTGTATCTCGGCCAGGAACCTCCTGGAACGGTCCGACCTGGCTGACTGCTCCTCCCAGCAGATGTCCAGGTAATTTAGATCACCCATGACAACTACATCCCTTGCCTTAAGTGCCTCTGCAAGCTGGCCCGAAAATTCCCGGTCCAGCTCCTCCCCTTGGTTGGGGGGGTCTGTAGTAGACCCCCACCGCTAAATCCCTCTCCCCACGACCTCCTTGTATCTTGACCCAGAGCACTTCAGCTTGCCCCTCCTCTGACCCCATTTTGCTGGCAGAGGATGTGTATTGCTCTTTGACATAGAGCGCCACACCTCCTCCCTTCCTTCCTTCTCTATCCTGCCTGTAGAGCCGATAGCCCCTAATGTTAACTGCCCAGTCATGGGATGAATCCCACCATGTTTCTGTAAGCCCTACTATGTCTGGGTTTGAACTGGCTATTCTGAGGGTGAGTTCCTCCTGTTTGTTCCCCATACTCCAAGCATTGGTATATAGGCATTTAAGGCCTTGCATAGCTGTGCTTGCCACCCCCCGATTAGGGAGATCCCTGTTTCTTACCTGGGCACTCCTTGCATGTGTCACTTGTCCCCAGTGCTCTCCAAAAGCTTCCTGGATTGCCTGTGCACTGCTGAATTGCCCTCCCAGCAGATATCAGGGTGATTGAAATCCCCCATGACAACCAGGGCCTGTGATCATGAAACGTCTGCTAAGTGTCTGAAGAAAGTCTTATTCACTACATCCTCCTGGTGGTCTATAGTAGACACCCACCATGGCATCACCCTTATTGCTCTCCCCTCTGACCCTAGCCCCGAGACTTTCACTGAGCCTGTTCCTGTTTCATATTGGATCTCTGAGAATCATACAGCTCTTTTATATAAAGTGCAACTCCTCCTCCTCTTCTCCCCTGCCTGTCCTTCCTGAACAGTTTATCTCCATTGTGGAGAGGAACTAGGTAAAAATAGGATACTTACCGCAGAGAATAAGGTCGAGCAGAGGGGAGAAGAGAAGACAGAGAGAGAGCGTCATTTCTGAAGCAGCTGTTGGATAAAAACAGAACAATCCCAGGAGGGACAGGGCAGGATGGTGCACCAAAAGAGAGTGGAGCAGAGGACAACTCAGCAGGGGGGAACACGAGAAAGCTGCTGGGGAAGAGAAAGCCCTGAAGATAGGTCCAGACTGAGGGAGAGAGATCGGCTGGACCCAGTTGAGCTGAGAATCATCAGTGAAGAGGGTTCACCTTCAAAAGAAAAAAAATACATAAAAAATACTCAGAGTGGCACAGGGATACCAGTTGAGACAGCGGCGAGGAACAAAGTCTGTCTGTTTTTCAGGTTATAGCGAAAGCTGTGTTTATGGTTTTCTTTGATTGAGTTGGGGCATTTTAGTGAAGCCAGTCAAGTTCTAGAGGGATTAAGGGTAGAAAGAGCCTGAGTGACAGCTACTCCCTCACCCTTAAAGAACCAGGAATACTCAGAGTGATCTGGAATAATACGATCTCACCCAGAGACTGTGCAAGTTGTTTAAAAAAAAATTTTTTTTTGCTTGTTTGGTTTTTTTATTAGTTCAAACTGGTGAATTATAATTAACCTAAATTGTGTATTACACAAGAGTGGAGTGAGCAAGCTGAATATGTCTGAAGTTAAAATTAAGACTTACCTGAATGGTGTAGAGTAACTGCAGTCTGTCTTGCTGTGGGTGGATCATAGATGTAAAGATAAATCACAAAACAAAAAAAGAAAATTGTGTAACCCAAATAAGTCCGATTTCATCAATGACTGAAAGTTTGGGTGGCATCTCGAAGAGATACAGGAGAGGCTGTGACCCCAGTTAATTCCCACGTGGATTGCCAGTGTCCAGCTGCAGTAGAAAAGAAGTAACACTTCCCAACTAATAACATCATAAAATCCTTAAGACGTGGCAGGAAAGAGTTGGAATATACCACAGGGTCCCAAACTTGGGCAATCACAAAAAAAATAAATAAATAAATAAAAGGAGGCGAGAGCCTGAACATAAGCTGTACCACCAAACCAATCCATGATGGGACCCCAGTTATGTGAGCTGGCCCACCAAATCTCTGTTATTCCAATCTTAATGAGTTCGTGCATTGCTCTGAAGGTTTTATCTCCTTAATGGAATGTTCAATACTTCTTTGTTGGTCTTCCTTAGTCTTAACTGAAGCTTCAGCACCACTATCTCAGCACTGACAGTAATTCAAATATCTTATTTACTAAGATAACTGCTGAAGTCTTCTGTTTTTAGAAAAGCTATGGGACAAATTTTGGGTTTGGACAAGTGTGTGGTTGTAGCCAGGGTTCATATGCCAGTTCAAGAGGTATGACACTAGAACTATCAGACCATAGATTTGGTTGTATGGATCTACCACTTGCCATAGCTGTTTACATCTTGTATCCTTACTTCTCAGCCTTGCAGTTATACAGTGGAGATAAATTAACATTTTTTTCTCATGTCACTCATTCTTGTTTAAATCTTCTCTCTGAATGTGCTACCTGATATTTGCCTTTTGCTTTTATTTTCAACATAATGATTTTGATGTCTCACAAACTTCCATCTCTCTAGTTGAAAAAGGGTTTTTCATACCATTCCTATTCTTCCTTTTTCTTAAACAGGAATTTTCAGCACAAGTACCCCAGCACTGCCTATAATAAGTAACATTACACTGCGTACTATGAGTCCCCCAGCACCGCCTATACTGAGTACCATTGGACAGCCTATTACAAGTACCCCAGGACCGCCTACACTGAGTACCATTGGATGGCCTACTACAAGTACTTCAGCACCGCCAAGAGTGAGTAACATTACACTAGCTACTATGAGTCCCCCAGCACCGCCTATACTGAGTACCATTGGACAGCCTATTACAAGTACCCCAGGACCGCCTACACTGAGTACCATTGGCTGGCCTACTACAGGTACTTCAGCACCACCAATAGTGAGTAACATGAGTGAGTAACATTACACTAGCTACTATGAGTCCCCCAGCACCGCCTATACTGAGTACCATTGGACAGCCTATTACAAGTACCCCAGGACCGCCTACACTGAGTACCATTGGCTGGCCTACTACAGGTACTTCAGCACCACCAATAGTGAGTAACATTACACTGCGTACTATGAGTCCCCCAGCACCGCCTATACTGAGTACCATTGGACAGCCTATTACAAGTACCCCAGGACCGCCTACACTGAGTACCATTGGATGGCCTACTACAAGTACTTCAGCACCACCAATAGTGAGTAACATTACACTGCCTACTATGAGTCCCCCAGCACCACCTATACTGAGTACCATTGGACAGCCTATTACAAGTACCCCAGGACTGCCAATACTGAGTACCACTGGATGGCCAATACTGAGTACCACTGGATGGCCTATTACAAGTACCCCAGGACCGCCTACGCTGAGTACCGTTGGATGGCCTACTACAAGTACTTCAGCACCGCCAACACCAAGTAACATTACACTGGCTACTATGAGTCCCCCAGCACCGCCTATACTGAGTACCATTGGACAGCCTATTACAAGTACCCCAGGACCGCCAATACTGAGTACCACTGGATGGCCTATTACAAGCACCCCAGGACCGCCTACACTGAGTACCATTAGATGGCCTACTACAAGTACTTCAGCACCGCCAATAGTGAGTAACATTACACTGCCTACTATGAGTCCCCCAGCACCGCCTATACTGAGCACCATTGAACAGCCTACTACAAGCACCCCAGCACCGCCTATACTGAGTACCATTGGACAGCCTACGATGAGTACCTCAGCACCTCCTATAATCAGTAACATTACACTGCCTACTATGAGTACCCCAGTGCCACCTATACTGAGTACCACTGGATTGCTTGCTACGACTACCCCACCACTGCCTATAATGAGTACCACTGGGCTGCCTGCTATGAGTACCCTAGCACCACCTATAATGAGCACCATTACACTGTCTAGTATGAATACCCCAACTCTGCCTATTATGACTACCATTAGACTGCCTACTATGAGTACCCCAGTACCGCCTATGAATACCATTGCACTGCCTACTACAAGTATCCCAGCATCACCTATAATGACTACTACAGTACTACCTATTATGGATACCTTAGCACCATCTACTATGACTCTTCCACCTACAGGTTATTCTTTCCTTTATTATTTACCTATGTATTTGCAGAAGTTTGTCTTTTTTCCACAATAGAATATACCACCACTGCTATATCTGAAATTCACCAGTCTTATGAGAGGGCAGGAAGAGCAATGAATGCTGTCTCTGCTAGGGAAGCTATTTCCATTCTAGAAACATTAGAACACTTCTAAGATCAGACTTGGCTTGAAGAAAGTAGATATATGAATAAATAGATTGGTCTGCAGGTTTGACTATCCAAACTGAAAAATGTGGAGAGCAGGCAGTGCTCTGCGGCTTACACACAAGAAAGTCCAATCTGCTTCTTAAAAAGAGGTGTGAGGTCCAAGGGCCTAGAAAACTAAGGTGGGAGGTGGTATAAAAAAATGACACAAGGAGCAGCACACACTATGTCCAAAACCAGAAGTGAAGCAATGTTGGGTCTTGGAACAAAGACTGCAAGGAAGGGAATTCCATCATTTGGCTAGCATTTGCAGGCATCAGCAGACCACACACAGCAGGGCAAAGAGGATTAGGAGAACACCAGTAGTGCCGTAGAATTCTTTGCTGGAGTGGTGGTTGAGGTGGGTAGACAGGCTGACTAGACAGAGAGCATGAAAAGCTACTAGGATAAGTATTTTAAGCTGGACACTTGTATAGTAGCCCAAACAGCACCTCAGATTGTAAGGATGGGCATTATTTATGCTGAAGTACTAGAGAGCACCCAGCTCACAAAAACACACTAGCCCAGTTAAAAATACATTAACAATTCTAGGGTATGTTCCATACTCATTGATTTGGCACATAGGATATCAAATTCATGGAAAAGAATGGCAGTTGGACGTCACAAATGGACTTCAGATATCAGAACATAATTCTATTTAAAATTCATAATTTTTCTTTAGTGAAAATTATATTCTTTGATATCTATTCCCTGTCTTCACTTATATATATCTTTAGAGCCTAATCTGGAGAGTTACTGAGCATTAAATAGATTGGTATAGACTCCAGCAGCTCTTTGGTTGGCACCTCCTCATTCAGAACCTACCTAAAGGCCACTATCAATGGAAGACTTTCCTTTTAGCTTTAGTAGCTTTGGATCAGACTTCCAGGATCTATGCAAGTATGTGCAGAAATTAATGTAAATTATCTGTCTGCTTTTTTCTCCCCTTCACTCTGCAGCAAATTATTCTTGTGGTGGCTTTCTTGCCAACTCATCTGGGGCATTTACTAGCCCATTCTATCCTGGAAATTATCCAAACAGTGCTGCTTGCATATGGGAAATACAAGTAGACAGCAATAGCCATATAACACTCGTTTTCAGAGATGTTGTGTAAGTATAGGGCAGACATCATGGGTGATGGATGGGGTCAAAATCTTGGATTTTTGATATTCATATCCTCTTTTGTTTAAGAACTTTGCTCATCCTGTTAAAAAATTATAGGTGTCTATAACTCTAAAATGAAAATACTACTGGTGATAATTTTTGTTCTTGCCTTTTGTTGAGCCTTAAAAATATGCTTGGTTCCATATTATTTCCCAAAATTGAAAACATTCCTGGTCCCTATAGATTTTACAGTCTGAAAAAATGCCATCCCATATTAATGGACTGTTTTGATAAGAGGTTAAATTGTACTTAACACAATGCATACTACAGCATGTTCATGTTGCTTATCCCAGGATGCAAGGAGTTGGATGCCAATATGATTACATTGAATTGTATGATGGACCACTAAATATATCTCCTTTGCTTGGGAGAATTTGTCATGGCTCTGTTTTCACCTACACATCATCCTCAAACTTGATGACTGTTCGCTTCCACACTGATGACAGCTATACAAGCAGTGGGTTTCATGCTAACTATTACTCCACACCAGCAGATCACAATACTAGTAAGTTCCTGTTCATTACTGTACTTTGATTCTTGGTGAATAAGAATATTTGTTCATTTTTTTGCTACTGAAAGGTTTGGGAGAATAGTGACCATTCCTTGACCAAACATTTACTATTTGATCATCGATTTGCTACTCTTAGGTAATAATTAGCTTTAACTTTTAAAGGATCTGACTGTAAGTTTGTATAGCATGAATTATTTTTAAATTTTTAAAGTTTTTCAGCCTAATTTTTTGTTTAAAATCAGATTAATGAAATGATATATACTTCCTTGTGTTGCTTTTTGGGTCAGATCCTAGTCCAAATCCAGGGAAATGTCCATTGGAGTTGGACTCATCTTGTTTCACACTGTATGAGATGGCTGCATGCCTTCCCTTAACAAATTCATTGTCATTTATCTGAGAATATGCTTTTTAAACACAACACTGGTTTGTCTGAATAAAGGATTTAGTCCGCAATAAGGACTCTTTAGCGCTAACTTACTGATCATCACCTCCCAGTGACCATCCAGCACATCCGGTAAAGATCATCTGAGCATCAGATCTCAAGACTGAACATTCCTGTAGCTTCCCCTCTGCTCCCTTGCTGTGAGCTCTGTACTCATTGGAGATGAGAGAGGCATGGGAGGTCTGCCAGTGACTCTTCTGCACTCCACTTTCATTACCAATAATCATCACCACAGCAGGAGAGACAAGTAAAAGGCATGGATCTTAGAAGGACTCTACTTAAATTTCCTGTTCCTTTCCTTCTAGGACACTGCTCTCTGTGTAATGTTTCCATACTTCACAAAATCATAACAGAATAGTAATACATAAGGGGAGGGTGGCTTGAATGCCTTTGGGATATTTTGAGGCAACCCTTGAAATGAACCCATAGCTGAAGTTTAAACTTTCCCTAAATCAGGCCTTAAAGTAGGTTCCTCTGCCAGCCTGAGATCTAGAATACCAAGTCCCTCTCCTGGGCACACAAAAATGGTTTTAGCAGTGAGGTTGCCAAGTGGTTAGAGCATTCATGGAGGAAGAGGGAGTTCTGTGTTGGAGGCTGCCTCAGCCGAAGGAGCTTCAAACCCACAGCTCCCTCTTTCTTTCCCCCAGTTCCCAAGAGCTCACCAGCTATCAAATTAGAGACTAGGGCCATGTGTAGACGAAACGAGGAGCATGTGTGCATGACACTTTACAGCGGGTTAATGCTTTTGCACTGTTTTAATGGTGTTGGTGTTTGCACGCGTTGGCGGCATATTGTGCAGTAATTCCAACCACTGTAGCAAATTCGGCAGCATAATGTGCCTTAAATAACTTGGGGCACAGCAAACTAAAACTCCTCTGAGGAATTTTAGTTTGCTGCCCTACAGCCATGAAGTGAAGCACCGGACTCTGTGCAGCTCCGTGGCTCTGCAGGAAGCCCATGCAGGCAGCCTGGCAGCAGCCCGGGAAGACAAGATCTGCTTAAGAAAAAAAAAAACCTGGCAAGCCTGATCTCCCCCCCTCCGGAGCTTGCTTGCCTGCCTAAGCTGTGTGGGAGGCCAGTGCATCCCTCCATGGCTGCAGTCCCCCAGGAGCTCCTTACCCGGGTGACTGTAGGTGGGTGCTGCCTAGGGGGAGCACCAGCCCCCTGCCACAGCCCAGGGACCACTCCACCACGGGCAGCTTGCTCTCCCCTCCCTGCCATGGGAGAGGCAGGTAAGTTAGGGTGTGTGCATGACACAGGGGTTTAAAGAGCCCTAAATTAGAGCAGTGTTTCTAAAAACCCACCGCTTCAATTTAGGGCCTCCGTTTTATCTACATATGCCCTAGCTGCACAGAGACACACTGGACTCCTCCAGATGAAGCTTTACCAGCCCTGTAGCGATTGCCACCGATGAAACACACTGTTCACAAGGACAGAAGTCCGAATTTGCTTGATTTCATTATAACAATTAATCTGTTTAAGAATTAAAATGTTTAAGAAAACAGAAGTGAAAACATGTGGTTTGGCCTATGCTCTCCTTCCCACACAATTTACACATGCAATGGATAACAGCACTTGCTTAATTACATTAGTTTATCATTACCAGATACTGGGCTGTACTAATGATATCTGTTTTTCCTTATCCCTTAGCACTTGTGTGCATGCCAGAACACATGCATGTGGCAATTAGCAGAGACTACGTCCACTCACAAGGCTACTCTACAAAGGATATCAGCTTGAATGACCTTTACTGTAAACCAAAGATCACACCACACTATGTCATATTCGATATACCATATAATGGCTGTGGCACAAGGAGGGAGGTATGATACTGAACACCTACCTGCATAAACAGATCTGTTTAAAAAGCAGAACTCATCTTGTGAAGGTCTGCGAATTGAAATGTGCACCACTATTCACAGTGATGAGGAGTGAACCGATGGCTGCAGAGATGTTTGAAGGTTCAAATTTAAACATTTAAGTGTAGGAGGGACTTGTGTAAAAAAAGAAATAAAAACAAGTTTATGACTTCTCCTAAGCATAAGAAGAACTTCATGATTAACAGTAAACACTTCAGTATAATAATTAAGTCATTTCTTCTTTAGGATTCCTCACATGTGCTTTAAAATACCTCGCTGCTTTGGAACATTTTGGAACCTTTATATATTATGTATTCAAAGCTTTCAAAAGATATCTTTGGATTCAGTTTAAATATCTTTCACATAATGTGTGGTTATATACAATGTCGTCAACAAGGTTGTTTAATATCCCCTTGAATAGACTTTTCTTTTACATCCCAATGTCTACTAGTCTTTGAAAGACTTCCTATAGAAGCAACATGATTATCTTATATCATATGTACTCACACGCCACATGTATTTTTCCCCCCCATATTCAGCCCTACAAAATTACAGTACATGTCTGAAACAGGGAGGCTTATTTTTTAATTGGAATGGAAACATGAAGACAATGTGTTTTAATGACCGCCCAGATGGTTGTGCTTCTCTCTGGCCCAGGAAGCAGCAGGGGTGGAGTCCAGTGTTAACCCTCACACAGACTAAAGCTGCTACCAATCCTTAGCAGCTGTTAGAAGCTTAATACTGTAGCTAGTGCCTAAAGCAACCATGGCATGAGCTGAGGGCAAGGGAGCTGCTCCATGCAGTCAACCATCACCCTAAAAGAATTTCTTTTTTTTCTGTTTTCTGCCAAAAAAACAAGGTGCATGTCTTGTTTGGTGGTGTGTGATATGTGAGGAAATGCAATGTGTTAGCAGAGGGGTCCATTGAAATTTTATTATGCATACTGTTAACTTACCTGCATGAAATAATTCTGTACCCTTTCTCTAACATGCCTAATAGGAAAACAGCAATATTATCACCTACACTAATCTAATCAAAGCAACCTCTTCTGGTAACACAATCAAAAGACAAAAGGATCTTCACTTGCGTGTTAACTGCAAAATGCTCCAGGACACCTGGATACAAGTCATGTATCTTGCTGACAAAGTTATAGAGGTCAATGAAACTCAGTACAACAGATATGATGTGAACCTGACTTTTTATGAAACGTCGTCATTCTCACAGCCAATCTACGACTCTCCATATTATGTTGATTTGAACCAGAATTTATACCTTCAAGCTTATCTTCACAGCTCTGACCCAAATCTGATGATGATTGTGGATACATGTGTTGCTTCCCCTGATCCCAGCGATTTTACAACAGTGACATATGATATAATCAGTCATGGGTAAGGACTTCCTCAGTCAAAATTTCTATATTTACAGTTGTGTGCAAGGTTTTTTTTTTTTAACTTCTGTGTTTGTCTTATTTATGGAAGAATGTGAATAGAACTAGCTTCAAGTGTAGGTAATAGCCACTGAATGTTTGATTTTTATACCATGGGACCATGTTAGTGGAAGGACACACAGTCAAAGCAGGACATTTTTAACATAGGTTTCTTCCACGGTGGATAACTGTTTGGAATCCATCCATAGCTGCAGTGGGAAAAAGGACATGACGCTGTCATTTCCCCAACAGTTTTGTGAGTCTTTCTCTGCAAATTTTCTTTTTCCAACCAAAATGAATTTTACCTAATTGTTTGAACACTTCCAGGGAGAATATTGTTGAAATTGAAATGCTTATGAATTTACTGTTTAAAAATGTTGCCCATCTATGATCAAGATTGATTTTTTCCAAAGAGTTTATCTGTGGAATTTAATTATGTTTTTCCCTACTAGTCTGCTGTTTGTTTTTTTTTTTAATAATTCATGTGTGTGTGTCTGAAATTTCACCTGTCTTAGAATCAGCTCCTGCTGTCAAAGTACATCTTTTATTTTGCTGTGGTATTCCAGTTGTATAAAAATAATGGAAAATAGAGTGAAAGTTCAAAATAATTAAACTAAGTTAATATTAGAACAGGGCATTCGGAAGTTAAATTTAGAAGGCGTTATTTTCAAGGTGGTTTAAGAAATTCCTGTCTAGGACAGCTTATAAAAACAAAATGGTCCAAAGGACCTTTCTAAGCAGTAGTCTGATAGTGGTCCAATAACCTGTAGAAACTGAGATTATACTAAGAGCACTTTATTTCCTTGTGAATGTTTGATGAGTTTCTTGGACTTTATGTGAGAACTGGGCAATATATTCCAAGATAGCATCTGTGTGTGTAAACAGAGGAGTTGAGCTCCTTATTCCTGCTAGCTGAATTGAACCTGAATGCGCTGGCATGAAATTATGCTATCCAATGAATTTAGGTCCTTGACAGGAAAGTGAAACTTAAAAGAGAATAGAAAGTACTTCTGTAGCTGATCACGTAGAAACCTTGTTCCATGGGAAAGCTCGCTTTCTTCCCACACCCTACGCAGAAATCGAAAGGGTGGAGGCAAGTGAGAGAAGAGGTTGGAAGAGGGACGTTATTACTATTTCTATTTCATTAACAAGGAGAACCACTCAGGCCTGCTGGCTCCTTTGCACTAAACATTGTATAAACAGTTAGTAATGAACTGTTCCTGCCTTTAAGAGCATACATCAAGGTCACATTTTCTCCCAGTAGTAAAGTTAGATCTGCCTCAGTTTCAGCTGCTACATAGGGATCATTCATGTGGCAGCCTGAATGTATGAAACCCCAACTCCAGGTTCCTGTGTTAGATTAGTTGCCAAAATATTTCCAAGGCACCTCTGCAATTTGGCAGTCTTTGTCCTTATCCTACAGTCATCTGTGCATAGGTTTAACTTTAAACATATGAATTCAGTAAGGCTATTCACTCTTAAGGTTGTGCCTTACTGGATGGGGCAATCAGTGTTGCCCATTTTGCTTTCAGAGACACCATCACTTCTAATTTTACAAGTCTTATTGCCTGTTTCATAAAAATACACATTTTTCTCTTTGCCGTTCCTGTTATATTTTCCGTTCAATATTTGGACTTAAATGTTTCTATTTGCTGCAAGTGATTCATTATTTTGTGTTTTCACCGTTACTAGATTTATTTTTTTTCTTCCTTTTCAGGTGTGTTAGAGATTCTTCCTATGCTACATACTATTCACCCCACACACACATGGCCCGGTTTAAATTTAATGCCTTCCAGTTTATTGGCAGACATCCATCTGTTTACCTGCAGTGTAAGATGGTGGTGTGCAGGAGAGATGATTATGCCTCCCACTGCTACCAGGGCTGTCTCAGTCAGACCAAGAAAGATACTAGCTCTTCCCAGGAAGAAGTGGCTGTTGTTGTTGGGCCACTGAAGCTTCAAAAGTAGCAATGCCGGTAAGGTTGCATGACCTTCCTTGTACTTAATATTGGAGTTTTCAAATCACTTTGCATTTCATGAAAGGCAATATCTTGACAGGTAGGTTTCCTTTTGATTTGTACCTCTGTAGCATGGTTTTATTGATTTCTTGACAGCTTGACATTAAACATGAGGGATATGTATATTAACTCATAATATTTATAGAAAATATTCCCCATTTAGCAATTTCAAATGATTTAATCTGCACATATAAAAATGCTGATTGAGTCAGAGTTATAATATATAGTCCAGTTCCATATAATAGCTCCACTGAATTCATTATACGCGTTCATGAGAAACTTTAACAACTCCAGTAAAAACGTATGTTTCTCATTCCTTGAAAAATCTTCATTCCCTAACTCTTCTTCCTAATATTCAAAACCCCCTGCTTCTAGTTAAGTTATCTTGTAGTAATCCTTTCTAATATATCGATTGTTACATGTCTCTATTATCATGTATGAAATGAGATGAAAGAAATTGATATCCAGGTTTGATCTTGGATTCATTATTTTAATGTACATTGCCTTTACTCTGACATCATTGGAAAGATCTAGAACAAACAAAAGTTTGAACAACCTTTTCTTCTCTTCACTTACAGAACTGGGCCCTTCAAATCTTCTGGAAGACATGAATTCCTGTCATTCATTTATTCCTTCTGCTGATAATTTCCCCTTATCATTATTACTGTCCACTTAGAGTTATTACCATGGTCCTGTTGTTATCACTCTTGCTAGTTCTCTTTTGGGAAGCACATTCAAGAACAAGATTCTCTGTGAGATGATGAGGAGAGATGTAAATAACACAGGAAGTTAGTGCATTTCCATTCCTCAATGGTACATTTTCTAGCCTATGTGCTTGTTACCTTTAAATGCCAAATAAACTTTTAAAGAACGATGAAGAGCAAAGGTATAACGTTTCTAACTTTGTTTTTGCAAGTTCAGACTAGAAACGGGTCTGAGACTAAAATTTCTGCATCTGACTAAGGCTGGAGACTCAGGGAAGTTTGACTCGAGATCCCTTTTCCAATCAGCTGCCATTTCCAGTAATGGACTCAATGCAGAGCCTGTATCTTATCCACCAGCTCCCTTTTATCATACTAAGCTTAGACTTTGCAACACAAGAGCTATCTCTAATCTAGATAAATGGAAAAAGTTCTACCTGGTATTTTGTAATGCGGTTCCACAGGGTACATTTGGAAACCCTGAAAGTGCAGGAAGGATGACACAGCAAGTAGAGGGGTCACATGCGCTGGAGGAAATCTGGTTTCACACACCTTAGGGTCTGTGACACTAGGCAAATCAGTCTCCAAGTTCCTGACCAGTAACATGTAGATAACAGCACTTTCCTACCTCACGGAAGTGCTGTGAGAAAATGTCTACGTTCAAGTTTGTTCGGCGTGGTAGGATGGGAGCCATGTCAGTACCTAAGAAAGTTGCTTTGATCGGTGGGATAATTGGGGCAGGGTGAATGGGGCAACTGCTCATGGAGAGAGGGGCATGAAAAAAAGTGTCTGCTATTGGCAGCCATGTGATCGCAATCATGATGGTGGCAGCAACTGGAAGTCAACACACCTCTGTGCCCTCGATGCCTAGGAGCATCCCTGCACTACTGGGCTTTAATAGCTTATCCATAATAAAAACCAGTCAAACTTGTGGGTGTGGGTGTATAGAATACACACACACGTGTGCACACACATATATGTTTTATTATATATTCTAAATTTTTAGGCACAACTACATCAGTCAGATATGTAATAGTTTTATACTCCATTTCACTTTGCATCTGAATATCCAAATATCCTTTTTGGATTCAAACACAGGTTTCCTCTCATCCTACCAAGGCCCATTCCTCTTAACATATCAGATATCTAAAATTGCATACTCTGGTTACATTGCTCAAATACAATATCAAAATTATTTTCAGCAG